TGTATTCCATCCATCCTTCCATCTACTGCTATCAGCTGGTCTGCTTGCAGCTTTGGTTACGGACACTATGCTGTGACAATGGACACACAGATTCTCTGACTATGAGGAGGTTACGTTACTGACCTGTCAAGGCATCTTTCCCCATAATCGCATTTTATCTACCAGGTGAACTTGGCATACATCCCAAGTCCTATAGGACAAAGCTGTTAAGACTGTGGCACATGATAAATACTCAGATTGCTTCTTAACTAAGTTAGACATGTGAGCAGTGTCTCCAAAGGTCAGGTACATTTTGGTGGGTCCACCACACTGAAGAGGTCTGCATCAATTACACTTTCTGAGTATTTTTTCCGAGTGTTATCTGCAGGGCAGCTAGGTTTTGTCACACGGTTTGTCTGTATAGACTGAGGTGATCATAGCTTTCCCGCTTTGTATTGATCTATAAGTTACACTGGTGGGTTTCCTGTTAAACTATCCTTCCATTCCTGATCTAAATCTATACGGGCATGGAGTATACTTTGAATACACTACTCAGTTTGGCTTGTCGTTATTTTGTTGAGTTTTGTATTTCTAACTGTTAGGAACATTAGCTTCTAAATTTTTATTTCCTTTAAAGAATGGTGCAGGGGATTGAATCAAAGGCCCTGTGCATACTAGTTATGAGATTTACCACTGAGCCATAGCCTTTAAAAAAAATGTTTGGCTGCTGGCCAGGCCTGGTGGTTCACGCCTTTAATCCCAGAACTTGGGTAGATTTCTGTGAGTTCAAGGCCAGTCTGGTCTACAGAGCTAGTTTCAGGACAGTGAGTTCCAAAACACTGAGAACTAAGTAGGGAGACCCTGTCTCAGCTGAGAACTGAGTACTTTTGGACTGAAGGCGTTCAACATTAATCCTGGCAAAGTTTACTTTACTGTTCTCAATTGTGGAAGATTACCATAGTCTATTTACCCAAACTATTTTCACAAGGGCTATTCCTCATCAGGTATATTGTGACCACAAGTGTCATCCTCAGATTCTGGGCAGATTTTTTTCTTTTTTCTTTTGCCTTTGCTAGGCACTGAACCTAGAGCCTTACATGTACTAGGCAAACATTACCACTGAGAACTTCAGTACTAGGCAAACATTACCACTGAACTTCATCACCGGCTCTCAGCTAGTGTTTCAACCAAGATTTCCTTAAATATCAAGAACCAAAGTAATACAAAACTTCCCTGGTCTGTAAACTGGCTCTGCCCAGAAGCACTTCTTTGACATTATTTTTTGTTTGCTTGTTTGGTTGGTAGGTTTTATTTTGTTTTTAGAGATACAGGGTTTCTCTATGTAGCCCTAGCAGTCCTGAGATCTGCCTGCCTCTGCCTCCTGAGTGCTGGGATTAAAGGCGTGCGCTGTCACACCTCACCACCACCTGGCCCTGTGATGTCATGACAACGACTTCTCAGTCTCTGTGTAAACTCAGATGTGCTGGAGCTGAAACTTATGGTCTTCATAGGTCTTTTCTGGGCTCCTGCCCCATGCTGGGCATGGCTGTGGCTTTCTAAATTCCCCAACTGTGTCTCTGAATTCTCTCACTTCTCCCAAGAAAATATTTTCCAGCCTATCTTCCATGGTTGTTGGCAGCTGACTATATATTAGCCATAAACAATAAACCAGGTAGTTTCCTTTAGAATTACAATATTTTAGGGAGCGGTAGTGGTATAAGCATTTAATCCCAACACTAGGGAGGCAGAGCCAGATGGATCTCTGATTGGAAGCCAGCCTGGTCTACAGAGTGAGTTCCAGGACAACTGGGGCTACACAGAGAAACCTTGTCTAGAAAAACCAAAAGAAAGAGAAAAAAAGAAGAAAAAGAATCACAATGCAGTGTTTCTGATCTGACTATTTTCACGTCTGAAGTCGACTTAGGCAGAACAGCGCTATGCGTCTTGTGCTAGTCCTTTCAGGAAGCCCAGACAGGGTTAGGGCCAGGAACTTCTGAGAAAGATCTGCTGTTCCCTCTGGAACTAGGGACCCAGGACCAACACTGGGAATGCAGTCTCCTGCTCTAGGATAACGAGCAGAGAAAGGCAAGGACATAACAAAGCACTCCTTCCATTCTGTAGTTGCCTCGCTCCCCATTTAATATTTCATTGGTTGCTGCAGACCCATGACTGTTTTCTAGATTTCTGATGAAGTTGGCTTTGACAGTTTCTAATTTATTTCAACGTCCATGTCGTGGGCCAGGTCCTTGGAGATGCCAACTTAATGATCTGTTCCACAGTGGCTTAAAATCTTTTTCTTAGACTTATTTATGTTTGTGGGTGTTTTGCCTGCACGTATGTATGTACACCATGTACGGCAGTGTCTGTAGAGGTCAGAAGAGGGCTCTGGATGCCCTGGAACTGGAGGTATGGTTGGTGTGAGTCACAGTGTGGGTGCTGGGAACCGAAGTCGGGTCCTCTGCAAGAAGAACAAGTGTTCTTAAGTGTTGAGCCACCTCCCCAGGCTGCAACATTGGCTGCAACATGAATATGAGTCAAAGCAAAACAGAAACAAAACCAAAATATGGGAGCCTATCAGCAAAGGCCCCCAGCCCCACTCCAGAGAGGTGTTGTCTTTCTTTCTTCCTTCTTTTTTTTTTCCTCCTGTTTTCTTCTTCTTCTTCTTTTTTTTTTTTTTTCTTTCTACCTGGAGGGACAGCTGTGGGTGCTGGGAACCGAACTTATATTTTTGGTTGTGAGCCTAGCCTTTAACTGCTGAGCCATCTCTCCAGGCCATCCTCCTGTTTTTTTTTTTTTTTTTTTTTTTTTTTTTTTTTNTTTTTTTTTTGACAGGGTTTCTCTGTGTAGCCTTGGCTGTCCTAGAATTCACTGTGTAGAGTGAGGCTGGTCTTAAACTCAGAGAGAGTCATAAGCCTCTCTGGGCAGACAGGACACTCCCACCTAGAGGCTCCTGAGCTCTCCACTTAGATGTTGCTAATTGCTCCTAACTCCTCTCTACTCAGGCTTTGCCCCAGGGGACACGAGGGGACTGATATTCTTTCGATCCTTCCAACACTGCATTCCAAATTTCCATCTCCAGGGTAGAAAAAAGGCAGGAAACCTTCCTAATGCTGTGACCTTTTAATGCAGTTCCTCATGTTGTAGTGACCCCCAACCATAAAATTATTGCATTGCTACTTCATAACTGTAATTTTGCTATGATTTTTGTTACGAATCACAATGGAACTACCTGATACACAACCCCAAAGGGGCCAACCTACAGGTTGAGAACCACTGCTCTGGTAGATACTACCCACCAGCCTATGAACTTTTCCTCTAGGGAAACCACGCCCCCACCCTTTTTAAAAAAGAGTCTTTCCTGAGCTGGGCATGGTGGTGTAAACCTTTAATCCCAGCACTTGGGAGGCAGAGACAGGTGAATTCCTAAGTTTGAGGCCAGCCTGCTCTACAGAGCAAGTTGCAAGACAGCCAGAGATACACAGAGAAATCCTGTCTTGGAAAGAAAAGAAGAAAAAAAGAAATAAAATAAAAGACTGTTTTCTGTACATCAACTATACTGCTTGTTTCTCGGGGTGACAGAGAAGGGAACACTGTCCTTTCACTGGGATAAAAGGTCATAGTAAATGCGTCAGTGAGACCGGCCAGCTGGGGAGGGGAGAGGGGCATTAGAACGAGGAGTCGGAGAGGGGCATTAGAACGAGGAGTCGGAGAAGGGCATTTGAACTAGTTAGTAAAGCAGGTCTTACTGAACAGGCGACCTAAAGATGAAGAAGGGAATCAGTGGTAGAAGCAAAGGAAGTGGGGAGTGTAGAGGCACGCAGGCCAGGTCCTAGAAGTGCTGAGACACCGGGGTGGACAGAAAAGCCAGGAAGTAGAGCACACCCTGGAGGCACTCCACTAGGCCCCCACGGGCCTGCATCCTGAAATGTAGGCTCTGCAGCACAGATCTACAGGGCTAACGGTGCTTAGAGGGCAACACACCCTGCACACACCCTGTACAGGACAACAAGCTGTCCAAATGCAGTGTCTTTGGCCAATGGGCTCGTCTTTCTGCTTCTCCGGGAAAGCGGGGGGGGGGGGGGGGGGGGGGGGGGGGGGGGGGGGGGGGGGGGGGGGGGGGGGGGGGGGGGGGGGGGGGGGGGGGGGGGCGGGGATGCTCTGCTCGGTTTCAGGACAAGAGAAAGCTGAGGGGGCTATCAGGAGGCAACAACAGCGTCACCTGTGGAGTGACGTGTCGTGAAGACGGTCTAGAGAGGAGCTAAGCAAGGGCTTCTCTGAAGAAGAGTCGGGGAGGACGGTGGAAGGAGCAGCAGTGGATGCTCTGAGAAGGAAGGAGTGAGGCCAGACAGTAGGGTATGAGAGACTTGGCGGGAGGAGTTAGGATTATGGACGGGATGACCCTTGTGGACTCAATCTAATCACACCAACATGTAAAAGCCTGATAAATCAATGTTAGTCCCCAGATGTGCAGCCACGTTAGGAACCTCCAGGAATCACAGGGCTGCTCATGCCGGAACGCAGCAAAGAAATACAAACCTCTGTGTGGCACCCATAAAGCAATCGATCTTGCCAATGGCTTGAATAAACTTGGAAGCAAATTTTCCTGGCGAAAAGCTGAGCTAAGTGAAAGAAAGACCCACTAGCACACTACCTCAGCAGGACTCCCTCCTTGACCCCCCCGTCCCCGCCCCCACCCCATAACAGCTACAAAATCCTTTCTTCTCGGAAATGGCTCCACCACCGTTGGGCACCAAGGACAGAAAACCTGGCTTGGAGCTAAATCAACGCACCCCCAGGCTGTGTTCTCTAACGCAGAGTTCCCAAGTCCGGAGCATCTTCATCGCACACCTGTCAAGTCCCTCCCCGCCCCCGCCCCATCACGATCCCTCACACACCTCCTCACAAACCCATCCACGCCGCCTCTGCCCCAGCTCGAACCAGCCCCGCCATCCGCCGCCGCCACGCTGGGGACAGCAGGTGACGGTTCCCAAGCCGAGGCTTCGCCTAGGGAACTAACTCACCATGGGAGTCGCGCTGGGCACCATGCTTGCCCAAATCAACCGCAACCGACCCTCCAAATCCCGCCCGACTTCCGGCCGCGGCCCCGCCCCGTGCCCCTCCGTATGGCCGCTCTAGATCCAGGAAAGTCTGGCGACTCTGGCGACTCGATGGTTCAAAGCTATACCCTATGAACAAGTCCGGCGTCCCTTGTATAGAACTGCTATAAGCGGTTCTAAAGGACCCGAGCACACAACGAAGTTCAACTTAGTAAGAGGATACTATCAGAAGCATGGCAAGAACTAAAGGTAACGGAATAATGGAAGATTTTAATTCAAAGGCTCCAAGAATTAGAACGGATTGTAGCTTGATTTAAAATGTCACATGGTTGGGGTGTAGCTCAGTGGCAGAGAGACTGCCTAGTGTGTGCCAGGCCACAGCTTCAATGTCTCACACTGGTAAAGGAAACGTAAACACATAAGAACGAACCAACAATTTGACAGGTGAGTGAAAAAACATGCCCAATTCCGTAAGCAGGTAGTAGTTTGTTTCGTAGGAGTGTTCATAGACCATTTACAAAAATTGATTATATGCTCGTTTTATAGGCACATTAGACAAAATTGTTACTATATAAAACGTTCATACATCCGGGAGGTGGTGGCGCACGCCTTTAATCCCAGCACGCGGGAGGCAGAGGCAAGAGTATCTTTATGAGTTTGAGGCCAGCCCGGTCTACAGAGTGAGTTCAAGGACAGCCAGGACTGTTACACAGGGAAACCCTGTCTCAGAAAACCAACAAAAGAGGAAATACTTCATTTTCAAATGTGTACTCTACAATTATTTTTGTTTATAAAGACAAGCGTATTTATCCTAAGCTAGTATTTTTTGACTAGCAACAACGAACACACACACACACACACACACACACAGAGGCATTCTCTTTCAGCTCATGCGTTCGCGTATGTATGTATTTTGTGTTTGGATGGAGCTCAGTTGGTAGAATGCTTGCCCAGGACGCACAAAGCTTTCTCTTGGTTAGATCTCCAGAATTCATAAACTCACCTGCATGTAATCCTAGAATCAAAGAGGTGGAGGCAGGAGGATCAAAAAAGGATCAGAAGTTCAAGGTTATCCTCAGGACGTGAGACCCTGTCTCAAATCAATCAAAGGCTGGGGAACTAACTCTATATGGGTAAAGTGCAGACAGGAGGCCCTGCAGTGGCTTCCGGAACCTATGGGGTTTAGTGCCATGCTTGTAATCTCAGTGTTAGGAGAGGTAGAGGCTAGTGTACCCGAGGCTTGCTGGCAAGCCGACCTAGCCTAATTGGTTAGCCTACATCCCAGTAAGAAACCCTGTCTCAAAAATCAAGGTGGGTGTGTGAGATGGCTCAGTGGGTGACGGCACCTGCTGCCAATGTCAGAGGACTCAAGTTCGAGGCCTGGGACCCACACGGTGGAAAGGACTGACTCCCTAAAATCTTCCTGTGACCTCTACCTGTGTGCCACGGTATATATGAGTGTACAGACACATTCCGCACACACACTCACAAATTCATTTAAAAAAGAGTAAAAATGTAGTTTGTGGTGGTTTGAAAGAAAATGGTCCCCAGAAGGAGTGGCACTATTAGAAGGTGTAGCCTTGTTGGAGGTAGTATGTCACTGGGGGCGGGGGGGGGGGGCGGGCTTTGAGGTCTCTTTTGCTCAAGCTTCACTTTGGTGTGATAGTCAAGTTGACATCCTGTTGTCGGCAGGATGTAACACTCTCAGCTCCAGTACCACATCTGCCTGCACACAGCCATGCTCCCCATCACGATCATAATGGACCAAACCTCTGAAACCGTAGGCGAAGACACCTCAATTAATATTTTCACTTATGAGTTGCTATGGTCGTGGTGTCTCTTCACAGCAATAAAAAAAACCTCTTAAGTCATAGTTACATATTAAAACAAAAGCAAAGTGGATTCCTTCTGAGGAACAGCTGAGAATGACCTCTGGCCTACACACAGACACACACACAGACACACACACACACACACACACACACACACACACGCACTCCAGAAAGGGAACCCATTACAGACCAAAGCAACCACTGCACGAAAGTCCAACTTGGTGAACCAGTACGTTTTTATTGGGGTTATTACCAGGAATATGAGTGAAAGGTCACTTACAAGGAGCTGGGATGACCCAAAAACCATTGCACCATGTTAAATCCCATCCCCAGCTTGGGTGATAGCTCGAGAAAGTGCAGCCCTGGAGCTCTCCGCACAGCCCGCAGGCAGTTTCAGAGTCTGAGAACCCCCTCCACGTCCACACAGTCAGACTCCCTCCCCCAGCAGTTGTTACCCTTTTTTAGACAGCTGGCGAGAATCTTTCTGTTTTCCCAGACCTTTAGTTTTCATCCAGAACCTCACAAGCCTCCTTTCCCCCATCCTGTCTGGGATTCTGAGGGAGATGCCACACAACAGTAGTCAAGGGCTGTTCATCAAGGTTTGAGAAGAAGTGAACCAACTGTCAAGGGCCTTGGGGAAGCAAAGCTCGAAGCAGTAAAAGGGAATGAGAGATGATTTGTTCTGGAGACATTTTGAGGATCCAAGAACACAGATTTAGGTAATCCTAAAATCCATATTCCAATGTGGAAACAGTTTCACGAAATCTTAGTTTTACAGAACAAAGAAGGTCATAAATCAAGGTAATTAGAATACATTGGTGGGTACACCAGAGAGGCAGTTCTAATGCGATGGGGAAGCATTTCTATAGGCCCAAGATGTTATCGGAACTTTGGGATTGGTGGAAATTAGTGGTCTGCTAACTTAACAGATTCTAAAAGTTTTTTTTTCCTAAAAAAAGATTTATTTATTATATATACAGTGTTTTGCTTGCATGTATGTCTGCAGACCAGAAGAGGGCACCAGATGTCACTACAGATGGTTGTGAGCCAGCATGTGGTTGTTGGGAATTGAACTCAGGACCTTTAGGAAGAACAGGCAGTGCTCTTAACCGCTGAACCATCTCTCCAGTCCCTCTAAAAGGTTTTTAATCTATTAATCACAGCAAGATGTTAGTTCTGACACAGAGATGGGCAAGAAATGGCTGTTCTAGAACTAGTCCAAGATAAAGTAATTAGCCACTAGATCTTCAACATTCCCATATCTCCATATTACTGTAGTTGTGTAAGTCAATCGCACCTTGGACCTCCTGGACCTGGAATTAGCCCCGCCCCGCCCCGCCTCTGGGCGTTCTGCCCCGCCCCGAGGGGGGGGGGACAGGGAAGGGAGCGATGTTCGATTCCTATCTCACCGCGTGTCCGAATGGTTTCTCGTGGGTGCACTCTGCTGGGTTCTCCGAGGCCTCCGCGTTCGTCCCTGCGCTCTCTGCATCCTCCCAGAGTTGTTGCACGCCCAGCCTGGAGCGTTCGGTTCACCCAGTGCTTTCTGCTCGCTGGCCCCCTGCGGAACTCTGTGCCGTAGACGCGTTTCCAGAGGACTGAGTTCACTGCGTTGTTAGGATTTACGTGGCTTCCGGTAAACGCTACGGCGCATGGCGGTGAGCTACGGGAGAAGGCGTGTTATGGCGAGGCCCTGGGTGTGGGGTCTTTGTGAATTTCGTCCTGTCCCACATTTTTAGGAGTTAGGGCGTCCTGCACTGGAGACACCAGCAGCCTCAGGCCGGAGAACTCAACGCACTCCGCGCAGACCCCGGCTCCCCCGCCCGGCTTCCGGTGCTTCAGACCCTCCCCGTCTCAGTTCAGTGCAACCTGCTTGTGACTCCGCCACCAGAGCACGTCCCGTAGGCAACACTGTGTCGATGAAGCAGAAGAAGAAGAAAATCCCGACTAGGGTCTCTGGGACAAATGGAGACGTAAAGACCTCCGAGAAACCTGTTCCAGAGGAAGCTCCCCCCAGTGCTGAGGCCCAGGTAAGGTTGGGATTCCCTGTGAGATTTCTGGGTGCTGGCCCGCCTGCGAGTGTGGTCTAGGTAGGCGAAATTAAAGCGCTGAAGGGATGGGACGGGAGTCTGTGTTATCCTGATGCCTGTCGCAGCCACGCCCCTCTTTCCATCACAGGCGGAGCAGCTGGCGAGGGAGCTGGCCTGGTGTGTGGAACAGCTGGAGCTGGGTCTCAAGACGCAGAGACCCACCCCGAAGCAGAGTGAGAGCCCCTTCTTTCTAGTTAGGGAAGTGTAACCGGTGACAGTGCTATGCCCGATAGCATTGCCAGGGGATGGAATTGTTGCTTTTGTACTTGGACGGTAGGGAGTGTGTATGAAGTTACCAGCTCCTTATTTCTGTCTGCAGAAGAGCAGGCTGTTGGGGCAATCCGAACCTTGCGCAGTGAGAAAACCCCCTTGCCCCGGAAGAGACAGCTGATGCGCTCCTTGTTTGGGGACTACAGGGCTCAAATGGATGCCGAATGGCGGGAAGCCCTAAAGGCCCTCAGGACTGGTGAGGAACTGGGAAGTGATTGATTAAATATATCTACTTCCAGGGGGTAGGGAGAAGCTCGCTCAGGGAAAAATCCTAAGCATACCTCTCCGGGGCAGCGGCCCTGGAAGGAGGAGGACCCAGGTCCTCACCTCCTTCTGCTTTTGGGGTGGGAAAAACCAGCTCATCTGTCTAGGCCTTGGTTCATTCCACTGACCTCAAACATACTAGTTGGGTGTAGTTTTTGTAGCTAAATGACCTGGATTCAAATCCTGGATCTTAACATTTTTTGGCAAGTTACTGCGTTGCTAAATCTCATGAGGGAATGACAATGTTGACGTTATAGGACCGTTGTGTGGGCAGTCATAACTGCATGGATAATGTTGGCTGTTACTCGGTTCTGACTCTCTGCTCCCCTTTCCTGCAGCTACCCAGTCAGCCAGGGTCCAGCTTGTAGGCGAGGAGGCCAGAAAGAAGAGCGGAAGGGTCTGCAGGCCTCGTCCAGCGGGAAGAACCAAGGCCACTGTGGACTCTGCTGATGAAGAGTTTCGGTTCAATTTCTTTTAGATGCTCCTACATTCTGGACTAGTCATCCTCCTCCAGCGCGGTGTGGGGATTTGTCTTGAGTGCAGGGCCCGGCTAGGAATTGCTCTCAGTGGAAGTGGGATTGGTTTGTCCCTATCTGGTGTGTGGACACGAAACTGCTGGCCCTGTGAGACTCCTTATGGGAACTTTTGGAGGAGATGTTCCTCCGGTCAGAAGAGAGATGCATTTGGGAACTCCTCTGTGATAAGCCTGCTTGTTGGGTGGGTTGTAGAAAGAAATGGTCCTCCGGTCTGGGAGCAGCTGCTGGTGGTGAGGAACTGAAGAAGCTGTGAAATTACTTACACATAGCGCTCACTTTTGAACGGATGCCCTGGCCATTGGCTTAGAGCTTTATCTATTGTTAGAGCATCCTAATAAATATTTTTTTCTACACACAAATAATTTATTACTGCAATATACACAAACCATAAAGGAATAAAAGGTAAAAGATCTGCATTGTAACAAGCAGGTGGCAGTTGAACATCCAGGGTGGAGAGAAGGCTGGGACGAGACTGCAGTGGATCGGATTCCCATGGTAGAAAGGGTGTCTTCAGCGGTGAAGGGGGTCCAGGTGCAGCAGCTTCTCAACCACACTTTCCTCGCTCAGGCTCATGAGAGGCACTCCATTCAAGGCGAGATGTGCAATCTGCTGCTCCTCAGGCAGGTCAGAACTCTCAAAATCTGGAGGACTGGGGCTCAGCGGTTAAGAGCACTGGCTGCTCTTCCAAAGGTCCTGAGTTCAATTCCCAGCAACCATATGGTGGCTCACAACCATCTGTAATGAGATTTGGCGCCCTCTTCTGGTGTGCGGGCACACATGGAGGCAGAATGTTGTATACATAATAAATAAATCTTTAAAAAAAAATCTGGAGGACTGAAGGGGAAAACTTTTCTATTTCTGGGTAGGTGTCATCAGAAGCAGGAACAGAGCTTTTGGTCTTAGCAGGCTTCTCGGTGATCTTTAGTGCTGAAGCATGTACACATGTGTCTTCTTCATGTCCCGCACTCACCTTCTTGGCAGTCGAAGTTGGCAGTTTTTGTTTGAGGGGCCTGTTAGTCTCCACCGGCTTTCCTATAACCCTGTTGACAGTTCCCAGAGCCTTTCTGCCGGCTTTAGGCAAGGCTGGAGCATTGAATACTTTGCCAACTTGTGGTACTGAGACCTGCAATTTCCTATCTAAGGCCTCGATACCAGAGCCCAGCTTCAACCCATCTTTGGATGCCAAAGGGCTGCCTCGGTCTTTGTTATCCTTATCAACAAAGACCAGACTGGCCATCCTGGATTACTCTGCTACACCCTACCAGCCCCACCCCTTACAGAATGTTCTAGGTCCTAGAGTCTAGGGTGTCTAAGCCCTTCCTGGATTAAAGAATCCTAGCAAGTATGTAGTTCTTGGTCAAGTCAAGTCATCATGTAGTTACCTGTACCTGGAGCCTGCTTCAGGGAGAATTTAAGGCACATGCCAGGTCTTGCTTAGATTACTAAGCTATATCTGGAAAGGGCACTTTCAGAGCAAGCCTTGAAGTCCAGGGAGACTATCTCCAATGGTTTGGGTGTTGATGAATTATTACTAGGGATAGAAGAAGTTAAATATCTGAGTGACCAAGCTTGCTTGGAGGGAAAATCTCTTGAGGGAAAATACTGTCATAATAAGAGAAAAGTCCTACTTTATTAACCAACACCAGGGATGTTGTCCTGGGGATCAGCGTCATATTAGAGGAGATGTGCCTTCATTCTGCTGACACCAGACTGTTCTGTGATCTGATCCAGAAAAAGAGCCACATAGAATGTTGGAAACGTTGAGCCAAGATCATCCTAGGAACCTTCTATAACGCTGTAGATGCAGAGCCGACAGGGATACTTATCCATGTGAATGGTACCAGGTGTTTTGTATAGAAGGTTCTCATGGGGCTAGAGATGGCTGTGTTGACAAACTGCTTGCCCTGAAAGCACAAGGACCTCAGTTCGATCCCCAGAAGCCACATGAAAACGCCATGTGTGGTAGCAAACATTTGGAATTCCAGCAGTGGCGAGACGGGCAGGAGGATTTCTTTGGGCTCAGTAGCCAGCCAGAATAGCTCAAGAGGTGAACCATAGGGCAAAACGTGACTGTATCAAGAAATTAAAAAAAAAAAAAAACCAAGATGATGATCCCTAAGGAAGAACACTCAAGGTTGTCCTCTGGCGTTGACATGTATACACACATGTGTATACATGCCTGTACATGCATGGAACTTCTCACCAGCAAGAAGCCACAGGCTGCCTCAGAATCTGTGACAATACACCATAAATCAAACACGCTCAAGCCTGTGTGACAGCCATGACTAGGTTCTAAGGGGTTGCAGAGCTTCCTAGCAGAAGGATGAGCAGCCTCAGAGCTGCTCCTGGGAGCCCTGCTGTCTGTCATGTGGGTTTCAGCAGGAAGCAGACATTGTGCTGCAAAGTATACGTGCTTCGCTGAAGAGAGGGCTTAGCAGGTAAGAACGCTGGCTCCTCTTCAGGAGGATGCAGTTCTGTTCCCAGCTCCCACGTGACAGATCACAGCAGTTTGTAACCACAGTGACACGGGATCTGACATCCTTTTCTAGCCTTCTTGGGCTCCAGCCATGCACTTAGTGCACATACATGAATTGAGTTCAGGCACGCTCAAACATGCAAACACGCTGCTGGTGAAAAAATGGAAGGGGCATGCGTAGCTCTCCCTTGTAGCCATTTGAACATCATTCCAGGCTTTCAGAGTTCCAAAGGAGTTCAAGAGTCTGGGGAAGAAATGGCCACAGCACCCTGAAACCACAGGGTGTTTTACACCAAGCTTGGAGATACAGCACCAGATTCTGCATTGGTTAAGGGCATCTGCCTACGGAGTCTGATTTAGCCTCGTCTTCCTTCTGGACTGCCGGCTTAGTCACTTTCACTTGGCAAAAATACAAGCATCCATCCTCCCCATTTTCACCACAAGAAGGTTCATGTCTTGGGCTAAGTCTTCCAAGACAAAGCCGATGAGAATGGGAAGATGAATATCACAGGCTGCAAGCATCTCACCACCTCCTGCACAGCGGGGTCAAATCTGTGTCCTCGATGTCTGCATTTGAATCAGGGCATAGTGAAAACAGTTCTTCCTGGGGGTCATAGTCGATGGTGATAGAGATCATTTCACAAATTCTGACACAATCATGACTCTTATCCACAGTGAGCAGACATTTAATACCAGCTGGTCAAAAATGGGATCTTTGGCCCTGCAAGGGTCCATTCACAATCAGATTCAAGGAAGGTTGCCCTTTGTGCTTTTGCCATGGTTCTCTTAGATTCTCGAGTCTGTATGGCGGGAGCTTTGGTAGTGGGGTTATTTCCTCTGGCTTGGTCATGAATGCTGCCATCTGGAGACACAGAAGTTGTTCTGTCCAAAAGAGAAAATTCTCACGAGACCATGCCTTTTTCACTTTTTCTTGAGGAGAGAGGAGACACCCACGAAGCTCTGCTTCTCTGAGGTCCTATAAACAGCGAACAGCTGCTGGGCTTCAGAGTGGGGCTTCTTCAGTGGTGTAACCTGCATGACACCCAGAAACCACCTGTAGCTGCCTGTGCATCCTCCTCACTCCCATAAAAAACCCCAGGAAGCTCCCTGCTTCACCGATCTGGCCCGGGGGAGCCTTTCTTGGGTCTGTCTTGGGCTGCTGTCTACGGCAGGCATTTCTTTAACATCTCACCCTCAATTTTCCCTTCTAACAATTCAGTTTCCCTACCAGCAGATCCTGCTTCTTCATCTACTGCCAAAAGCAGGGGAGATCTGTCTCTTTCTCTGTGTCAAAGCCTTGTGGAGGCGTGCTGATTGGCTTGCCCAGACCACCTGTCTTTCTGGAGGATCCCCACCAGGACCAGATCTTCCGATTACTAGGACTTCATGTCATGTGTCCAGTTCTGTGGCTGTATCTTCCCTGGGGTAATCAGTGCCACCATGATTTTGTGGGTGAGCATTTCCCAAGCTAACAGGCAGAACTGTGAAGTGTTGGTTCTCAACCTGGCTGGATAGCACACACCTGTGCATTTGTAGGGGGAATTTCCAGGGAGCCTTGGCATGTGGGACAGTGACTGTTGTAGACCCACCCTGATTGTGAATGGTACCCTCTAAAGGGCTGGGAGCCCAGGGAAGAGATTAGGAAAACAGGAAGACTTGGGTGTACAAGCCCCTTGTTTGAGGAATTGACCCAATGTTGGTAAAGTCTTAAAGGCAGTAGATCCTGTTTCTTAGAGTCCTGGACCCAGCAGTTTTGTGGTCTCCATCCATTCTGCCACCCAAAGATGAAGACTTCATTATTCTGCTGCCCAGAGGAGCCTCACAATTAGAGACTAAAATTTAGGCCATTGTTGAACAAAGATTTCTTATCATGTTTGATTTCCTAAGGGTTCGATTAATCTGGATTGCTTTTTATTTCATCCTCAGCTGACATCAGGAATGACTGCTACTATTTTTTTTCCTTTTCTTGGGAGATGAGTATCTTCATTTAGGTTGTGTGCTTTAGTGTACTCTTCCTGGTCCATTAACATCTATTCCTTTTATTTTCTTCACAGATCTGATTTCACAAACTTCCAATCTTAATTGTGTGTCTGTGAAGGAAGTCAAGGAAGAGCCACCCTGAATATGGATGGCACCATTCCAAGGGCTGAGAACCTAGATGGACTCCAAGACAAGAAGCTGGGACGCCTCCTCTCTGCTTCCTGTCTGCCTGAAGAATTTCTCTGATAGGTCCTTCTGCTCTCATGATTTTATTTGAAAATATTTATTGCCCAACCTCTGAATGAGTACTTTGTCCCTTTATATTGTCACAGAGGTGAAAAACTAACTAATAACATTTCTACATCTATATGAATTAACCACATCGGTCATGTGAGTCCAGCTCCTGTCTCCAACATCTCACAGCCTAAGGACTGACCTCCCTTGCTCGTAATGGACCTTGTCTTTCCTCATTGCTCGAGAGTGCGTGAATATGGCCTGTTTCCTACTGCAGTAGAGGCTCTTGGGTCACACTCAGCCTTCCCTGGGTCTTTTTCCCCTACTGCTGCTGAAGGCCTGCTCAGCAAACCTTGCATGAGTAATGAATGCTCTCAAGGAACTGGACTTAACTCTCTGTGAGGTACCTTCAGCTCCCTAGCTAGAAGTTGACTGACATGGGCCAGGGGAGCCAATGTTTTGGCTCCTGGAGGGCCAGATAGTGAGGTCAAAGGGGAGTCTCACACAACAGGGGCTCCCTCCCAGATCCCCAATTGGGTACAAACTACACCCAAACACCTGCTTCACAGATTCTTTATTAAGTAGGGAAGAAAAAAGTGGCTGATGTCTGACTTGTGCAGTAGCAAATGATCTTGCAGGTACAACTAAGAGTAGGAAAAGGGGGGCTGTGTTCGAATGGGCTATGATGCTGTGGTAAAGGAAATAAGTGACGAGGGAAAGGGGGGAGGGGAAAATGGAGAGGGGCAGGGGTTTTATCCTGAGGGGACGAAAGACTACCTCAGAATAGATGGGGGACAGAAGAGGCCCACAGACAAATGACAGTTTACCAAGGTAAAATGGGAAGCCCTGAGTTAGGAGGAGGTGTTTAACTTTAAAAGGTTAATGTTAATTAGGTGAGCCAAAGGGGACTTTTATAGCTGGACTTTGGTAGTCAGCCTCAGGAGGAAAGAGTGGCCAAATGACGAAATAGACCTTGGTGGCCATCTTTGGGAATGTAACCTATCAGTTTTTAGCAAGGCAGAGGGCAAGGCCTGCCAGAGTCATGCTTGCCGTGCCTGAGCAGGCCAGAGTTCCTTCAGTGGGCTCCCAGTGGCGACCTGAGCTGGGAAGATGTCTCTTCATGTCACACAGTCTCCCTCTTCCCTGTCCCTTCACAAATGACTCCCAATTTCAGCCTTTGCTTCTGCAGAGCTCAGCCTGTGGCGACTTGTAACTTCAAATACAGCATCCTTGGTTCCTCCCTTTTCTTTCATATTCCTCTTCCAGTGCTGCTCTCCAGATGGATGGGTGTCTCTGTCTTTGAATCTAGGTGGGCGTGGGGCTCTGTCAGCAGATGAGAAAAAGTGTTGCTGTGGAATTCGAAGGCTAGGTTGTAAGGAGTGGCGCTTTGTCCTGGCTCACTGGGAGTGTTTCCAGTGAGGGATTCTGGAGCATAAAGCCTCTTTGTGAGTGCTTTATTAATATATCAAAGCCTGAGAGCTGGGGGGTGGTAGTGCACATTCCATTAATCCCAGCACTCGGGAGGCAGACTGCAGATCTCTGTGAGT